AGGAAAATAATAGGAAAAAAAAAGAATATAAGGTGGTTAGTGAATGGTAAATTGTCAGGATCTTACAATGCGAACACAGTCTTTCGAGCGCAATGGTGAGCCTCAAATTACTTTTCGGGAAGGACTGTAATGAAACGGCTCATATACCTACCTACCTGTACGAGTAAAAAATGCAGGGAAGCGCTAAGAAATGTACTTAAATTTATTACAATTAGTTGATATTCGAAGTAATTGAGACAGTTTTCTTTAAAAGGAGTACACAAATTTGATCCAGACCAGTAGTACATTGCACCGTACGTTATAGATTGAAGAAATTTTAGCTCGCGAAAACAGCCATACCAGACGGCCTTTTTAGTCCCTGTCGTTGTGCTGGCCTAAAAATGGATATTGAAACAGGAAATCTCGATATTTTGGAATGTTCTTACCGTCTGTTTAATCCACCTTTCGACAAGGGAAGCGACTTTGGTTTGAGCGCTGATGGCGGCGCTGCAGGACCCTTCGTGCTGGGAGCGGGAGCCAGTGAAACTGGTGAGGATTGTCTTCTAAGAGGAAGTTGGAAGGGATTAATTCGGAAAGATGATATGGGACGTCCATTCCGCAGACGTCGTCGCGAGAATCCGCAAGATTGTAGGCGAGTTGAGAGGTTTGTTAGGGAGCATTGTCTGCAAACACAGAGAATTCCAAACTCATCAAGAAAAATGGATTATCGATTTCATGGGAAGAGGTGATTTTTGTTCACGAAAGTTTAGACGTCGTTGCACCAAACTTGTTTGTTTTTCAAAAATAAACAGTCATCGATTTTATTGACTAAAACACACCCGCATGTTCGTTTGCAGTTTTCCCACATATACTGTGGATTCGAATTGCACTGGCCTTGACCAAACCATACAGAACACTGTGTATTAAAGTCGACACAGGCTGAAAAGAAATCCAAGTTTAAATTTCCCGCCTAAAGTTGCAGTATTGATAGGTGGGCGGAGTTTACCCACTCTGCGAATTCCATAGCGGCGGTGGTGATGTCCCCTGGCAAAAGTTACAAGATGGTTGGCAGTATTGACGCATATACGCTGTCTGACTGGTACAGTATCCACGGCTTGCCCAAGCAATACAACAGTAATGTTGATTGAGACACGTGCC